AGCAAATTACAGAAGGAAATACCTGAGAAGGTAGAGAAAAATGATAAAATTATAAATAATGTAGAATGGAGGACTAAGAATATTTTATGGAACTCTTTGACTTTATAATATGCAGGAACAAGCTTCTATCAAGCTCAAATTGACTTTTCCTTTAGCATACTGAACAAATAATGACAATTGCAGAAGAAATTCACAGAACAGAGAGAGTTAGAGATTCAGTGTTATTCATTGATGGGAAAGGAATTTGAAGTGGTTAGTTCTCTAAGCAAAACAGTGTGACAAGGAATATGGAGTCTAAAGGAAATAGAGAAGGAAATGAACTATTACTGAGAGCGTATCCTTTCAACTCCTATGCTGGACACTAGGCGTGAATTGCCTTGTTTGATATTGGCAAATTGGCATGCTATGTATTACTACTATTCTATTTGCAAGGCAGAGTATGTGAGGCTTACATAAGGTAGACCGCCAATTCAGTAGTCCTTTCTACAAAGACTAAACCCATGATAGTACATTAACTCATTTCTCTTCTCTCTTCCTCTCCCCTTCTCTTCCCGTTCTCGCCCCATCCTCCTCTTTGTTTCCCTCCCCTCCCCTTCTCTTCCCTTCTCTTCTTTCTTTACCCTACGCTCTTCCTCCTTTCCTCCTTCCCTCTCTTGTGGCTACGGTTTTGCATGTCTCCTTGACCTTTCTGTGCTGTTGTAAACTATTGTGTTGAAGCGAGAAGAGATCTTATTCCAGTTCTCTAATATGTCTTTGGGTTCCTTATTAACATTGCCTATTTTAAATAAGTCAAAGATTAAGCTGCTTAAACTAACTTACACGTCGAGTCCCTGATGACAGCAAATGTTTTTTGGTGGATTATAGAATCTTTAATATTTTCTCCAAAGACAGTTTTCAAGGAACATAGATTTGCTTCATATCTTTGTACTACTAAAGGAAAAATAAATTTCATCATTGCATGAAATACCAGTAAACTGAAACTGAAAGGCTTAAGGATGGATTTGATGAGTTAATAACTTTAAAACTGAAAGTAATATTAGTGAAGTGTGTATGTCACAATTATCCACTATTCATCGTATCCATTATTTTCAAACTCATCGAAATCAAATACATGATTATTTAATAATCATTGTCTTGGCCCTGTGTCCATCTTCCCCTCCATTTATAAATATATTTTTACTTGTCTCCCTTTCCTGGGATGTATGGGCCAGGCCGTTTGTATCACACTGGTGTAACGCCCTAGGAAAATGGGGTGACTGAACTCAGCTAAGTCTAGGAGCAAGCTCTTGTGCTATTTTCAGAGAAACTGATGTGTAAAGTAGTATAAATCAAAGAACACTTTAGAATATGGGAGATGAATTTTTGCAAGATCTCCTTGTGAATTTTCTCAGAAAAATTGCTGTGCTAACCTCAGGTTTAGAAATACTTGAATTTTTAAAAATCAGATTATATTTATTTACTTATTTACTTTTGATCTTTTAAGACAGGTCCCGTATAACTTAGTCGGGTCTTAAACACATGTTGTATTCCAGGTTAGCCTCAAAATCTGGGCAATTCCTTTCCCTTAGCTTTCTACGTGCTGGGTTACAGCACATGCTAACGTGTCTGACTTCCAGAATCTGATTTTTATGGATTTTTTATTGTGTGTTTGGCATCTGCCTCTTGTTCTCCTTAAAAGCTGTGTGTTATGGTTCGTACAGTGTGCTTTGCTTCTGTGCACAGAAATCGTGGAGTCAAAATTAAGGCGCTCTAGAGCAAAGTGCACTTTATGGCTTTTGTAACATTTTCAACACAACTCACTGTAAAAAGTGCAAATAATTTACATACTTCAATATTATTTATTGTTTTGTTTTCATCAAGTTTTAAATCCTAGAAAAGATCCAGTTAATTGATTCCACAGCTTGCTAGTAGATCATAACCTACAGTTGAGGAAAACTTTCTGTAAAAAATAATTTAGACTTTTAATATTTGGTTTCATATTCTTCTGATAAAAATTACTCTTTCATCTGTTTTCCCTGCTTACCTATTTCTTTTTTATATTCTCTTAGATATAAATACTAAATACCCTGCTGAGATACTAAGAGGTTTTTTATTTTAGAAATATCACAAAGAATTATGTGAATATACTAATCTATTAAACTGAAATTATAAATAATCATAAAATGGACTTTTTCTACAGAGAGATTATGGTTTACTGAGCAAAACAGATATGGGCTTATTAAAATCAAATAGCATCAAGTGATACAGTGAAAGGTAGACTACAGAACAGAAAGGTTTTGAAAATACTGAGTTTTGCATAAAAGAGTTACACTGGAGTGTGAGCCATAAATATCATTTTTTTCATTAAAACTGTGTGTGTGTGTGTGTGTGTGTGTGTGCATGCGTGTGTGTGCACGTGTGCCCTAAATTTAATCGTAAAGTGCTCAAGTGCTCTTCACTGTTTCGGTCCTCTCAATAAAGAACTGGTAATTCAAATTTACATTTCTTCAAAGTTTTGCTACTCAAAATGAACGTATACTCAAAACATTTTATAGTTATCTCACTAATACAGATAAAATTTTCCAACATGGTGCTGTCATTTTGGGCTTTTAAAGTCTAGACTAAGAAAGCAAATGTTCACTGTGTGTGTGAAGTTGTGTCTGAGAGCTGTTAAGGGGGGCAGGCACAGCACAGATGCCTCCTGAGCTCGGGGGGTCGAGCTGTCAAGGGCAAGGCAGGCAGAGCAAGAGACCACACAAGAGGGGGGGCCTGCGGTACTGCCCCCCTCCCGGGCTGGGCGTAAACTAGGTTAGTGTTTTGCATTTTTTGTTAGCAGTCCAATATACACATAGCTCGTGTAGCAGATTCTCGACTTGCTATTTGTTTTTTCATAGAACAAAATCAAGGAAAATGTTTTCTCTACAAAACCATCCCTTTGTGGTTTCTATAGTTATCCAATTACCAAGAGGGTTTTTTTTTTTTGCTTTTTTTTTTTAAATATGAGATTAGAGGTAATATATTAGGATAGAGGGTGGTTAGTAAAGGCCTTTTATTTTTACTTTAGCACATTATTGTCTGTCCCAAACCAGCGGGTCAGTCAGCGAAGGTCACCTGGGAGAGGAGCGGACAAAGGACAGGAGATGCGAGAAATGGAGACAAGACAGGATTCTGACCAAGTCTCATTTATTCAGGGGAGGTGCTGGGTATATATAGTGGAGGCATAGGGAAGTGACGTGGGCGGGTAAAAGGCGCGAGTAACTAGGCAACCGGGCTGTGACAGGAAGTCCACCCTCCTGGGCACAGCAGGAGACTTACGGGAATAGGCGGGGTAA